TAGACTGCGTTGCTGTTTTGCGGTACGCATAGTTTACCCTCGAGGCTGAAAAAAGTGGTTAATATAAGTATCGTCATCATTATTACCAAACCACTTTGTGCACCATCATAACTGATCATTCATCCACACCACCACCACTACCACCATCATTACCACCATCATCACCACCACCACCACTACCATCGCCATTAACATCATCACCACCATCGCCATCATTCATCACCACAGGCCGTACTAGCATTATCGTCCTCATTCAACATCACCATCATCATCACCAACATTCATCAACATCATAATAATAATAATAAATAACAATAATTACAATTTATAAAGCGCTTATCCAGGACTGCTCTAGGCGCTGTGAAAGATGAAATACAAAATAATACAAAAATAATGACTACGATAATCAGAAAAATAATAAAGGTCACACATTAAAAGCTAATTTAAACAAATAAGTTTTCAAAAAAGTCTTGAATGATGACAAATAAATAAATAAAATAAATGAATAAGCTCTCATAGTTCCTAATTGAAGATGGTAGACCATTCCAGAGTTCAGGTGCAGATACGGAGAAAGAACGGTAACCATAAGATTTCAGTTGATACTTTTTGTGTTCAAGAAGAAAAGCAGAAGAAGAACGTAGGCGTCTTGGTGGAGTATAACGAGAAATCATATCAGAAATGTAGGATGGAGCCAAGTCATAAAGTGATTTGTACGTGATCATCACCACCACCACCATCATCATCATTACCATCATCATCATCGTCATCATCATTTATCACCATTAAAATCACCAACAACCACCACCACACCATTGTCATCATCACCATCACCACCATCATCATCCTAGACCAAATACACTGTTTTGCTTTTTTGGGTTTTGTGACATTCCTTGAGTATTATTTCTGCTACATTGATACGTGGGTAGATAAATTGAKATTAAATGATTAACTCACAAGAAAAGAAATACTATTACACTCAAGGTAATGGAACAAGAAAAAATTGCGTTAAGTTCAGATATCGCTATTTTACTTTTATTGATATTAGCATTGAATTGTATAACTTGCTTTTTCCAAATAAGAAATAGAATTTTCAAAATGTCACGCAAGCATGATGAATGACGCCTGTTATCAGCGAGAGCGCACTCTAAACATTTACATAAAGCATCGAGGGATTTCAGCGGGCTTTTTAAAAATTCAAGACCTAGCTACTGAAATCACCCGGTGATGACTATTAGCTCGACTATTAAAGCTATAATACTCTAATCTTTGTTTCTAAATTGATCAAATAAACCTAATCTTTTGGATATTTTGACAAAGAATCARTTTTAACTCGCCAAATTTATGAATTCCTGGATGGAGCACCTCAGTATCGAAGGCACCATTTTTTCCTGAATAGTATTATCGTTTTTAGTACACATACACACAAAAGTTGAATTAAAGAACGCAAGGGATATATAATAAATTCAGAATTTACTATCTATTTAGCCACTAGTAACAATGTGCTCGTTTTTAGACAAAATTTGCCTTCAGACAAGAAACTTCCATCATGAAGTCGTTCGCTTTAAATTTTATGGACTTTCACTGTCAAAAAATATCATTCTACTTACCACATGTTTTAGGAAATCCTTTTTTCTTAAAGTTAGAGTGACTTTGCTGTAAACAGAGTAGTTTTTTTGCCGCTTTTGAAGATAAACTACCGAAATTCTCTGTGTTTTTTCGCTCGCTTTGGAAGATGCATGCTTGAGGTGCAAACATACCAAAAATATAGTTTGTGACGCCGTTGCGAAAGTCATGTCACGCGCGTCACGCACTATTTTTAAAGCTGAGAGAGGAAGAGGCACTGATCTTACAGCATAAAAGAGAAAAACATAAACCATGTATCTCTATTACCTGRCTGTATTTGTACTCCATATATCTCAGCTCTCATACAARCAGCYCCGTGGTGCATCWTGGGWASGATACGTAGATATCGGGCAATGATTCCTTGRTASAGAATCTGCTTGACGATCCCTGAATTATCCACATTACCATAAAATAACTGTAAATGTCCACAACAACAACAAATTTAATAAGATTGTTTGTGAAATCACTGGAATCAATTCTAAGTATTATCGAAATAWTAATAGATCATAGGGAATACCGCTGGACAGGAAACAAAACTGGGCGTGTTCAKGCAGGACTACCGGAATTAGTTGACTTTAAAATAATGTGCCCTATTATACCTGTTGTGTATTCCCGTCTTCAGTGTATGAATAATAAGCTTTTCCATCATCAGAATAATTGAGCTKAAAAGTCTTGACCCATTGTTCCGCCTGGTGGTCACCCTGTGTTGACACAGCACAGATGATGTGGGGGGTCYCTAAGTCAATCTGTAGATAAGGRTTATCATCATTTCCCAYAGCACACCACGATGGTCCATTAGTGTAGTTTAGTCTGGCCTGGTCACCTGCWGTCCCTGAAGATGCTGTAATCTTGTCAGCTGGTATGACGTTATTCTGCATGCCGACAGGAACATCTCGGCAATGAATATCTATGCATGGAAGATAAATGAAAGATTGATTTACTTTAAACAAATGACATGTGAATAAAAATAATTGTTCAAGGTGTTAAAAAAGGTTTCTATCATTGCAAAGGCACGGCTACCTTTCAAGATGGCGCAGGGAATTGTGAAAGCAAGGGACTATTCAACTTTGGCCCGTGAATTGGGTGTGCCCTAACTCATGTCAAGGAATCGAGCTCGAAACATGAACGATATACCGGTTTAGACGGTACGATTTTCGCCTACAACTATCGTATACAAGACGCTCGCGTCYGTCGTAGGCGAGTTGTAGGCTTGGTTTACACGTTACGACTCGAGCTGTAGGATGGCGCGAGCGTGTTGTATACGATAGTTGTAGGCGAAAATCGTAGGGGCTCTTCTGTGAGGTTTGCTCCAATAGTTTTATCACGAAGTTCACGTATTTACAACTGAAACACAACTTTCAACTCATGCTCAAAATTGTTTTTTTTTTTTTTTTCATGTACTGAAGGAAGAAAACATCATTGTTCAATTTAAACAACGCAAGACATACTCACCCGATCCATGTATACTAGGAAAACACATGTATACTGACATTACCAAGGCAGTMCGCCAAGTCAGGTACATGCCTAATGAAAAATCCATCCCCACAAAAATCAAATCTTATCATCTCTCATTCGTCTTCGGATGAAACTAATACATTTTAGCTTTGTTAAAGGTAGGAAACACCCTGGAAACAGCATAACCTTGTTTTCAGCCTCATCGTGGTTTTTATTTTTGAATTTTGGATATCATTAGCTGGATCGTAAGTAGAAAATTTCGAGAAGCTATACATGCATATGAAMAATATCTGTGGCGATGACATCGTTGGTAAGATCGTCAATCGAAATCCTCAACAGGCSCCTTGCATTGAATTCCTAGAGGAATTTATTGACGCTTCAGGCCTTAGGTCTTACAAGAACTGGAGAACTCTACAACTCTACAATAACTATGTTTATGGGAAAAGCTACCTATATTTATAGAAAAAATTAGCATAATTAGGGAATCTTTTCTTATGCAAAAAAAAAATCCATTGTTTTGTCCCCCAGGGCCCGGTTGTACGAAGCCTGGATAGCACTATCCGACGGATAAATATTATCTAGTGGATAAATTTATTGGATAACAGCATTGACTTATCCACTGGATAAGGATTTATCCACCGGATAGAGCTATCCAGGCTTCGTACAACCGGGCCCTGAACAATTCCTCGAGGGACTCAGTGCAAGGGGTCCATTATAGAGTGATTTTCATTAACCCTCGAAATACACTTTAGCTTGTTACGCTACTATTACACTCTAATTTGTTTTCTTTTGAATGTATTTTTCCGACTAATACACTCTAATTAGTACACTTTGTTTCACGGGTTTATGAAGACCACTCTATATATGAGGGCAAAAAAAGAGAAACTCACTATCTTGGTATGSTTGAAAAATATTTCAAGCTACAAGCAAACCGACATGCCAYACACACGACCATACATTTCTTTGTAAACCATACCGCTTTCAAAAAAAAATTACTCCCAAAACATTGAACATGTATTACTCTCAAATTTTCAGTAGTTACTTAATAAGACCGTTCTCTTTCGATTTCTGGAGTCGGTTTGCTTGTAGCTTGATTTTTTTTTTTTTTATGCTAATGAGAAAATACCATTTGAGAACCGCCATTTACTTTCTATGCCGTTACTAAACCACGAGAAACAGTTTTGTTCTTTCAGGATCTATTGATCCCTTGAAGCTCGTTTGGTTCTATATTTACCACTTTACAACCGCCATTTACTTTCTATACATACATCAGGAGTTCCGCGCTACTGCTCTAGGCGCATCCTCAAGGGGACCAAAAAGTGGGACCGTGGGTTGTAAAAATTGCTATGTTTTGGTATATTTGATTTGGAATTAGCTTAACGCTACATGCTCTTGAATACTTAATAAAAATTATGATTGATAAGAAAAATGCAATTAACATAAATTGCAATTTTTACAACCCATTGGTCCAACTTTTTGACCCCTTGAGCATGCRCTTAAAGCACTAGCGCGGAACTCGTGATGTATGTATACCGTTACTAAACCACACTATTAAAACCTTTGCTGACACTTGACATATGTTTTTCGAGTATCGTAACTGACCTGCGGTGAATGATTGTTAAAAATCAACGGTACGGACATYGCCAGAGTCACATGCATTTTGAATCGATATTAGCAGAGATCTCGTGCGCCTTCACTTGACAGCTATTCTTGTTTTTCTGATTTAAGCACAAGGTCTTAATAGAAAAAAATGGTRGGCTTCCAGAAAAACATATGAAAATGGAATTTCCCCATACTTAAGCAGCAAGCATCACTTGTCATTCAGTAGAAAAAATATCATTTAGTAAAGAAATCTCTTTGACCAGTGACTTTGGCATCCACGTATTGCTCGCGCCATGCTATGGCGATTCTTGCGRCAGAGATATTTTTCTCTGACAAGAATCGAAACGAGGGAGACTCTGCTAGCAGGGAAGCGTCACGCACGACTCGCTACATAACAACGCGCCTCTACGAACCATGGTGCTATTCCTTTAGTTTAAACACGAAATAATTATTTCAAAAGGAATATTTAAAACTACCCAATTATTGCATTTCTTGGAGAGCATGTTAGTAATCTCAATATGAAATAAAGCAATGAAAAGTCTGAGTCTCTTCATCAAGCTACAAAGAAGTGCATGCTCGATTCAAAAGGCGCATGAAATATCTATTCAATAAATCTTCAATTAACCAGGGAGGTGGGAGGGGGGTGGAGATGAAACTGAACAAATTAACAAGAATAAAGCGTTCTGATTGGTAGAGAGCTCTGACTGCGGTTTTAATTGTTCGGCCTCGAGCATGATGACGTTTTATACCTACACTTCCAGAATCCCTTTTGGTAATTTTTTTGTTATGATTATTTTCACTATTGTCTTGGTATTCTCAAAGGAATTTTAACATTTGCATAGGAAAAGAAATTTCGAAAAAGACTGTGTTTGAGGCCCCGTCCACACGTATCCTAAATTTTTGTATCCGCAAATTATTTTTTGCGGATACGAAAATGTTTGCGTCCACGTATCCGGAAATTGTACGAAAACGGATACGTGTGGACGGTGAAAACGATTCGAATACGCTGCGTGTGGACGCAAACATTTTCGTATCCGCAAAAAAAATTTGCGGATACAAAAATTTCCGGTAACGTGTGGACGTGGCCTTTAGGTATAAAACGTCATTAGGATTAGGGTCTATTGTCCGTAACTGTTTTACCGTAGAAGAATGTTAGAATCACCGTTAAGATAATCGATATGACGGATTAAAAAACGGTTTTTAAGAAATAGTTATAAATTTATATAAAAGTAACTTGCGAGCTATTTTGTGTCTCGTTTTTTTTTTCTTGTATGGTACAGAGTTGTTGTTGTTGTTGTTTTTCTTCTGAAATTCCTCCCACCTCTCTGGCCTAATCATAGTCAATAGAGGGGAATGGTTAGGAAACCTATTGTTATAGGTCTTTGTTCACTTTATTCAAGCGTCACAGTGCACAATCCTTTGTTTTACCATTGTTTTACCATTGTTGGCAATGGCTGAATGAACAGACCAAAATCTTTCTTTTGGCTGGTAGTTCAAAATATTCAAAGATTTATAAGAGATATTTGAATGTTCCTTACAACAATCCCATAGTCAAAGTTTGTGTTTACTTATTTTGCAATTTCGGATGAGCATAAATCAAACATTGTGCACGGTCAAGACCGGTTCAACATCAAAAGCGTCACTGATAAGACCTGATAACAATAGGTTTCCTAACTATTCCCCTCTATTAACTATGTTCTATTGTAGTGAGATTGTAGCTTATCCCAGATCATTGTTTCAGGTCTTTGCCATGCATGCATGAGCGCCTTTCCAAATCCCTATTAATATTCGCGTATTTTTCTTCATCTCTCTTATGAAGCCATAAGCTACGGCGAAAGCTCTGACTYTTTGGTATCGTACTGCAGGAAAGGGACAATTTGGTAATCTTTAGCTAGAGATATCAATTATAATCTAGCTGTCAGAACAGCCTTTTGAAGACCTCAACTACCTTTAGCTTCACGAAACGTCAGTACCTACGAAGTAATATAGTGCAATACTCTAAGAACATKCTGGCTTTGAAGATCGCTGTGTTGCTAGTGTTCGTTTGTGGCGTCCATGGGAGGATCGACTACATCGACGTGTTCACCGAAAAACCAGTGTTTGGCGATCAATACAAGATGAAAGTAATAGATAATTTCCTATACGAAGTAGAAGTCCGAAAGATTCATTCACAGGAATCTTTAGCTGAAGAAGTAATAGGAGGTAATAAGGTAGCAGAAGAAAACCCAACTGAACTACCAAAATACGTAGGGAAATATGATGTCATAAGTGCCGAACGTCTTGAAGAAGATATGACAATAAATTCGAAAAAGGACGTCAARGATAGAGTTGCGAAAGGTTTTTTGAAAGCTAAGGGTAAGGGAATAATTACCAAGGAACACTTGAAGAAAATACAACCCAAGATCAAGGCCTTACTGCTGAATGTCTTTGAGCACTTCTCAGATTTTAGATTCTACGCCACTGAAAGCGAGGGAAACTGTATCTTTTTCCTCGATGTCAAAAACCTAAAATTTTACGTTTTCAAGGACTTAGTGTACAAAGAAGTATTGTGATCGTTCGCTAAACTAAAGACAGGACTTTTGCATGCAATAAACGACAAATTAATTCTTCACTCGTTAACAATTTTTGTCAACTCTCCATCATGCATAGGGCTCTGGCATCGTTCACATTATGTTATTTGTAATTTTGTAGTTT